TAGCAAGACACCCACACTTGCTCAGTGAAGTCATGGAGCTCTACCTGGTGGCTGGAGGCAGGTCTGTCTAAGGCGGCATGTTTCACTAACATGTTTGCAACTCTTTTGTGAGGGTGTGGACACATACTGAAATATTATTTGTGGCTGTTACACAAGATGAGGGAGGGGTCGCACAAGAGATGGAGAAGCAGACTTCTGACCCGGACGTTTGCTGTTTGCTGAAAATATGGGCGGGGAAGGTGAATCACTTATTTTTTGTTTTCTTTCCTCAACAATGATGAACTACCCTTGAGGGCTGCATTTAAACTCAAGCTGCTAGAGTAGAGTTGTTCATTACCTAAATGTCAAATACTGTGGTTGGACTGTGCATCTCCCAGCAGGTGTGCATGTGTGGGACTATGTAAATCTGAAACAGGAAGGTGACAACAACATGCAACTGCAGACTGCAGGCTATTAAATCCAGTGGTGGAAGACTTATTTGAAGCTTTTACTTAAGTAAAAGTAGCAACGCCACAGTTAGCCTTCAAATTTTACTTGAGTAAAAGTACAGAAGTATTATCAGCATATGCAAGTATTATCAAATGTACATAAAGTATCAAACAAAATACTCATAACGCAGAAAAAGTGAGTCATGTCATGTGAGTGTTTAATATTACTATTAGTAGCTAATCTATATTTACAGAGTACTTTAATCATATTTTTATGAGCTATTTATACATCTTTATCAGTAAAGTACTTGAGAAAGTTACTTTAATTAATAGCAAAGGCTCAGTGCAAGCTTTCTCTGTAAAATCAATTCAGATAATTGGTCAAAGTTTAAATTACATTTAAATGTGTTTCAGACAAGATGTGCTGACACTGTGACAAATGCACATGAAGCACATGTAAATAACATACACAGCCTTTCTGTGACATCTCTATAAAGCGGTCCGGCAGCACAGAACTATATCTCCTCTGTGGGCTGCCAAAGTTGGCCCGTGGCACACAAGCAAACAAAATACCCATTGTACTATAAGAGCCCTGAGTACAAACATCAGCAAACTCTGCCACCGTTACCTACAGGCTTCAACAAAACAGGGCCCTCCATTCATTTTGAGTTTCAGTACAGTTATCTGTATGACCTTTGAGAGGGCTTTCACTGCGCAGTGCATTCCAGTGTGGAGTTATTATAAATGCCCTTGATAATTCAACCTTGGGGAAGTGCCGAACACTTGAGGATGAATATAACACGGGGAACAAAGTACAGAAAGCACACTGATTTGTCTCTTAAGGCAGAATATGTCAGATTGCTATGAATGTAAAGGAAAATGTTATTAATGTGGTTTAACAAAGTCCTCCAAAATGATCATCATTTAATTGTGTTGTTTTCTTGTTTGTATGTTTTTTATTGATAAAAGACTACTATTAATAGAACTGTAAAGACTGAATAAAAAATTAATAAATATGTCAGTCAGTTGTTCCTAAAATTTTTGCTTTATGACCACTGATGTCTACTCAGAACCCCTCGTTGCATTTGCCATTGAGTTGTGAGCAGTTTCAGATTTTTTACATTTAGATCATTCTTACAGGCCAGAGGAGGTAAAGTATTTCACAAGGAAAGCACTAATTAAAGAGAAGTGTTTATGTAGCATAAATTTGTTCTGTCACCTTTTTTATCTTGTTAATTATCTTGTCTTATTTCCAATATAAGTCAGTTGACCAATTAATCAGTCATTTTGAGATAATCTGCATCAGTCGATACCCGCACCCTTAAACACCAGTCATGTTCTGAAATCTACAGCATAACCCAATGTATTTTTCTATTTCATTAATTGATAACTCCATCTAAACCAAGTTACTGGCTGAGAGAACCATGTTATATTAGATTGTTCTCTACATGCAATGGAATTACATGTGACTTTTCTTTTGATATCTGCATTTTATATCTGCAATCAGCTGCCCTGCTTTCCAAATATTAGAATCGGCCATTGAGAAACCCCTATCAGGCGACCACTAGTGATCATATGTAAAGTCAGGTCTTTAAAGATCCAAAATCCCAGAACAATACTCAGTGGTAGCTACAGTCAGTGTCTTGCCAACTTCTGCGTAGCTAAACCAGTATACTGTTTAAAATGAAAACTATGACCTCAAGTTCAACACTTTTATTTTGTGTTTTCTTCTTCAAATAGCAAAGTGAATAATCTCACTTTTGTATAAGTATTTATATAAATAACATTTCAACAAATCACAATAAATGTTGCTATTTACAAAGTCACAGGAATATTCAGTCTTATTCCAACAATAAATAAGAGTAAATTCAAAGTCTAAGTACATTTAATAGAGAGAAGTTACAAGAGAAACAAAACTATGAAAAGCAATCAGGGTGCACCATGTCAAGTTTTGTAGAAATGGTTAAAAACACATACAATGTATCAACTGTTACAATTCATACACAATGGAAATAAGGCAATGATTACAAAACACTGGGGGAACTATCTACAAATGTGCACTCCCAATTAATAGGGAAAACATATAGGTGCCTAAATTGCACTGTGCAAAAGAGGTGTCTACTGTATATAGCCACCTATCCAATGAAAATAAGCTGCCAAGACAATATGTCCTGTGTCACATATTAATGCTGAGCCACTATTAACAAAAAAAATAAAATAAAAAAAAGTATCCTTTACACAGCAATGAATTCAAGTCACCAGGTTTGAAGCAAAAAAAGTTAGGTTAGGGTCACCCAGAAAGCACCCCGCACACAGACTTCTGACTAACTATGAATGTGAGCAAAAAGCAAGTCAATCATATCGGGCAAACGTGAAGCTCGGGCCACGTCTATCGCTGTCTGACCGCTGACGTTGGCATGCTTCAGGTCAGACCGTGGCGCCAAGAACTCCACGACATCACGGTGGCCTTCTCGGATGGCGATGTGGATAGGCAGGGCACCACTCTGGTCCGGGATGTTTACCAAAGCGCCGTACTCCACCAGAACCTGCACAGTGTCCAGGAATCCTGTCCGGGCTGCATCATGGATGGGCGCTATCCCGTGTTTGTCCTGCACGTTGGGATCTGCTCCTTTTTCCAACAGCAAACTGGCGATCTTGGAGTTCCCCATCATCATCACCTGTAGGAGATATCAGAGGAGTGGTGAAGAGAGCAATTCAGCACCTGTGTGTAGATGGCATGCTGTGACCATAAATTCTCTAAAAGTTTCATGTCAAGGATCTCCTAGGAGATCTAATCCTTATTAATGTTTCTTTTAGTCTAAATCTGTAAAGTGGGACCTGGTGAAGAATTAAATACAGTAGCTGTCTATAGTGTTAATGAGAATATAAAAATCTGTATTGAGTCATCTTTATACAATCAGTTGTCAGTCTATCAGGTACACCTAAGTGAAACAATTGCAGTCTAATACAACAGTATCTTCACAAAGGTTATAATGTTCAGGTTTTTTTTTTTTAAAGTGTTTTAGAGACATGTTGATTATTCTTTTTTAAAATCATACTAAGGGGTGTTTCTATTTAGCAGAGCTGAAAAAATTAATTGGTTTAAAAGTAAATTATCAGGCAAAACTTCCAAACATTATCTGGATGTGTCTTCTCAAATGTGAGGACTAGCTGATTTTCTCTTTATTTTAAAGTCAATTAAATATTTTGGGGGTTTTGGACTGCTGGTTGGACAAAACAGGCAATTTGAAGACGTCGATTTTATCCAGCTTCTGACTTTTAAAGAATAAAATGCATTTGACTGCCATTTGTTTGAAGTTTACCTTGTATATTGCCAAATGAGTGTATAACCTCTTTTTTTATTAATTTCTATCATCACATATTCAACATTTTGCAGGTTTCCAGGTACTAACTTACTTGATTCTGACATAAAACATCCAGAACATTTCTTCTGGAGAGAAAAAGTTAAGAAAAGCCTTGTGTCCTTTTTATGTCAAGAGCAAAGGAAGAGTCTGTAACCGAAGAACCACCTGGACTAACAGTAACGTTATATGTTTGTATGCAGTTGATATATACTTAAATATATCAGCATTTCTTCGACTTGGTCCTCACCTGTAGCGCAGTCCTGCCAAATTCATTGAGAGTATCAGGATGCACTCTGCATTCCTCCAGGATCCTCAGCACCTCGCTTGTATTTCCTTTGGCTGCTGCCGCCGTCAAAGCTTTACCGGCATCCATCTGACTAAGGACCATTATAGTCTCTCTTTCTGCCTGTTCAGTGGGAGATGTACAAAAACACTTACACAGACATTCAACCACGGGCTCCTCGTGATGGCAATAACAGTGTAATGAACACTAAAGACGGACGCCAGGATTCAGGAAGATTAACTTCGGCTACTAGAGCTAGCTACTAACTTAAAGCATCCGGGCTAACGTAAGCTTCAGTTCCCCGTTGACGCCATATTATTTGAATGTGCTAGCGTAATGTTACATCAGGTCTTGGTAACACATCGTGCGTTTAAACAACAAAGCGGTGTTAAAACATTTGTTCTACCTAGAGACGGTTCGCCTCAACTGAATTAGAAAAACAATTAGCATCCAGGCTAACCGCTAACATTAAAACTAGAAAAAGGGACAGAGCCTTTAAGCATAACGTTACCTTGTTCGGTTCCTTAAGATCCACAACGTCGCAAGATTTTCGATCCCGCTATTTCTAAAGACCAGTATTTTTTAAATACAATCCAAACAAGGAAGGTTTATCAACATTAGAAAATACATTTGCGCGCTGAGATCTACACAGCCGTGTCTCCGTACTACAATTTACAAACATTGGAGAGAACACACGCTGACCAATCACAGCTCGTCCAGAGGGCGTTGCTCTTCCATATATGGTTAAAGGGGCGGCGTTACAACTCTGTTACTACACCATCACTGTGGTAACAGCCACGGTCGACCAATCAGAGCCCGTACCGAAGAAAGCGGGCGATTCGTATACGTTGATATCTTCAAAAGCAGTTCATTCACATTTCTGACCTTTGGTTGTATTTCTACAGAAGCAAGTGTGCAAAAAAGGCGGGTGTAAGTTTTTAATTTTACGCGGAATTTGGTGACTGTAATTGCACAATGCGTTACTACAACATGAGGACAAAATCTGCCATATGGTGTTGCAAACAAGAAAAACACAGACACAACAAACATACAGAACTTTGTACAAATTAAGGGAATAATTTCATTGCATTTACATAATTTGCAGTGGTCCCGCAATAGTAACATTAAAATCAAGTTGCACATAGATTTCACAGATAAAATAAGATCACTGACAGGTGAAATGTCAAGACTTCCTTTCAATCAAGTGATCAATGATGCTTGACTCCAGGTGCTGGAAGTGATAAATATCCAGTGATTCCTCAGGCTTTATACATTGGTCCTCAGCTGGTAGTCTAAACAAAAAAAAAAAAAACAAATGTAAGGGAAAATGATGAAGCAAAATGTGATTCAAATGCTTCTATTCTATATTATTTATATATTTCTACATTTATTTATGTTGACTGTATGTTTGTCTACATGTAGCAACTTATCACCACAGCAAATTCCTCCTATGTGTAAAACACTACTTGGCAATAAAGTTCCTTCTGATTCTGATTCATCCATGTGTATCTGACTGACCATTTGCTTATATAGTACAATATGTCTAGAAAACAGAATGTCACATTAAACTGACGTTTAATAGAAAATATGAATGTACCTCCACTCTGTGTAATGTACCGGACCCACGGTAAAGCCTGGTAACCACTTTTCTCAATGATCTTCATATATCGCACCTGTTAAAAAAGAGTGAGTGAGACAGAGAGACACAACGCGTTCAGGCAAGAAAGACCATCGGCAATAAAATGAAATCTAGTTTGCCAGTCTGAGCACATAATATAATCTCTTACAGGACCTGACTTGACTATCCACAGGCTATAAACTGTACACGACCCATGCAAAGCAGGCCTTATCAGGTGAGATCGGTAAGAGCTTTATAATTGTCCAATTGATATAAACAAGGTGTAACACGTTCTGACAGGCCTCAAATCCACAATAAATGGGTTTTGCTCTCAGATGGACCACATGACTCATGCTGCCACAGGCATTATTCTGTGGTTGTTTGACACTAAAAGAAGAGCATCAGCATAAACACACACACACACACACCTGTATTCCTGACACTGTGAAGTATGGGATTTCAAATTTGACGGTAATGGGAGGTTTGCCCTCAAGCTCATCTTTCTCCACACTGGGCAGACCAAAATGAGCTCTCATTAGAAACTCTTTTCCTCCCTGGACGGATGGATGGACGCACACATAGACAAATGGATTAGACAGAGAGACGAAGAGGTAAACTACAATGCAATATACATTAAGAAAGTAACAGAATTTGAAGCCAATGTGCTTTGCATATAACAAACTGAGTTGTGATTTCTCACAGGGAAAGACTTGATGGTCCACACCACCAGGTTCTTCTCAGGCACATATTTGGCATGGCCTGTGCTGGTTTTGAACTTGGGTGAGTCGGCATCACTGGGGACGGGGACCCTCACCTCCACATTATTTGCCACAGACTGTTTTTTAAATTGTCCCTTTGCCTAGAAACACAACACAATATAACAGGGAGCAACAACAGGAGACACAAGTTTGAGACGACCAGTAACACTAACCACAACCGAATAACATTTGCTTTAATTCTTGTGCTTTTCAAGCTTTAACTGTTTGTTTCACCATTCCCAAAGTATACATCTCCAGTGACATGAAATATTTAAAATAAGATTTTGTTGCCAGTGTATTTGAAAATACAGTTGGTCAGTACCTTAACCATGATTTCCACTCTACTGTGAGAGAATTTCTCTATGATCGATTCAATCCATATCAGAGGCTTCACCTGTAAGAGATGAAGGATGGGGTTTGAGCAAAATTAAAACTACATATACATGCTTTCTGGAGATACATATGCATATTATTCAGTATACATATTCATTTAAGTTGTGTGTGTTTACATAGATAGTCCTATAAGGTGCAATTTGGATTGTGGAGCTGCACTACTAGACTCATAATTTCTGCACAATGAAAGTTCTTGTTTTATTTATTACACCTAAATAAATCAAGCCTTATTAATGTATCTATCTATATATCTATCTCTCTCTCTGTCATTTCTGACAGGTAGAATATGCCACGAGCAACATCAGCAATTTTGGTACTCTGACCTTCTAAACATACATGTATTTACATGACTTTGGTTTAAAGCATGTCACTAATGCAATGTGTGAGGCATAAACATATCACATGGTGTAAGTTACGAAAGTAAACGATTTAGTGTGAATTGGACTAACATGGGTGTTGATGCGGTAGGACATGAGTTCAGACTCCCCATCTGGAGGAATGAAGGAGATTGTTCGGTCACTGTCGAAGCGAGAGAGACGGACACACTGGTGGAACTTCACGTCCTCCATCACCACTGTCTTTCCCTTGTCACCTGAACACAAACACGACATAAATCAGTGCTATTAACTTAAACACAACCAAAGAAGATGGATTAGCTACACATCCAGCTGGATAAGTGGAGTAGTAGATGGACATGGTTAGACAGGCTGAGTACGTACGTCCGGTGAGAGCAAAAAGCACTCGATCATTAAGGCCCAGCCGCAGTTCAGGCATCCCAGAGAGCATGGTTTTGAGCTTGATGCTGCCCACAATGTCACTGCTCATCACACTGCCATTGGCATTCACCTGACCGAAACAATAAGCAGTGATGAATCAATCAGAAGAAACTTTAAGATATATTTGGGAGCGCTTTTCGACTTTAATCGACAGGACAGTGGATATCGGTAGGAAATGAGGGAGAAAGAGATGGGGAGTGCGACACATAGGAAAGGTCCACACATCAGTTTCGAACCTTGGCCAAAGCAGTAAGGACTCAGCCTTGTACACGAGGCACGTGCTCTACCAGGTGAGCTAAACCACTCCCCTAGGAGGAAACTGTTTAACTGAATAAATCATACTAATCTGATTCAGTTAATTACATTAAACAGTAAACACAGAAGTAAAAAAACATCCCAAGATATAGTGTGAATTTCTACTGTGTATGTTTTCTTATACTACGACTTATGACACTACTACAGTACTTAAGCTACTAATATGAATGGCTGAGTGTAAAAGCAAACTTCACTTAAAATATACTTAGTAATTACTATACAGAAAATGTATGCAGTTCTTGCTCTATTATGGCCTATTCAGCACAACAAATTTACCTTTAACAATGTAAAAAAAAAAATTAATAATACAAATGTGCAAAGATATAATAATACTTTAGAATACATTTAGCAATACAGTGACTGCCCAACTGATCCATTTACTCTAACTTTTATGAATTATAAATGAACCCAGGATCCTGTGGTAAACAAAACAGGTGATATCCAGTTTTTACAAGCCAAGCAGATTTTTTAAGACAGCTCTGAGTGACTTAAATAATGAATATGCCCTATATCCCATCTTACCAGTACGTTGATGGACTCGATGACATCAATAAAGACCTCATTCTTCTTGTATTTGATCCCCTCTGACCTCCAGGAGACAGCGTTGGTGACTGTGGTCGGCACCTTGGACTTTGCCACCTCAAGCTTGGCACCTTCCTGAGTGATGTATCTGAAAGAGGTGAGGTGAGAAGAGATGACCTGCTGTGATATGTACAAATACTTAATATTTATATGTCTGCATGTGCGTCTTGCGGCGTCTCACTCCTGTAGGATCTTGCTGTCGGTAGTCTGAGGGAAGCCAAAGTCCATCAGCTCATCTAGCAGCTCATAGACAACCACAAAATTGTCCTGAATGCTCTCCTCCTCCAGCTCTTTGAAGTACTCCGTGAACACCTGCAGGATACGCACAGAAGACATCAGCCTTACCTGTTGTGGGTCTGAGTTACAGAATGTTTTTACTTTGGATTATCACTATCTTTGTTTGCCATCTTCCACTGGCTCTTCATATAAATACACATTATAAATATTTACAAGAAACATTATAAGTCAGTACTGTATGTGTGACTCACCTCAACTAGTTTGTATAAAAATGAGTACACAAGGGAGGCGTTAGAGTTCTTGTTCGTAGTGGCCACCACTGTGCCGAGATCAGGTCAAGGAGTATTTTACACATTCATGTTTTGTTAGAGTCAAAGGATGTAACAAATGATATTCTCTTGAATGTGTTTTACTTGTGAGGCTCATGCCACATGTAGGACAAGGATACGGTACAGGTTGCTGTGTTTGATCCACATGAAGTGAACATTGCCACGTGACAGCACGGGGCAGAGAAGCCCTTCCTCGTCATGTTGCATGAGTAAAGGCATGAAGTGGTCGATCTCTGCCATGTCCACATCACCTTTGTAGTTCCGACAAATCAGCACCTGAGAACGGAGGATAACACCACAAGGTTATCAGACAGCTGTGTGTTAAACTAAATCTGCAATTGAAGTAGTATAGAAGTAATATTTTGCACCTGCTGTTGGCCTAGAAAGGAACACAGATACCAACAATGATATATTAGGTAATATTCAAATAACTGTATGTTTCAGAAAAAAATTTGGCAACTTAATTTGGTGACTTCTTTGTTACCCAATTGTGAATCACAGTAGTTGATTAATTGATTAGTCAGTGCACTTTAATTTTGATTCCTGAACTGTCCTTAATATCAGTGACAGTTTCTAGTTCTAGCCTCTCAGTTGTAAGGATTTGCTGCTTTTCTATTATTTTAAATGAAATCTCTTTAGTTTTTTGTCTGTTATTGGGAGAAAACAAGCAATCTAAAGATATTAGCTTAACTAGAGCAGACGATTAAGTGAGAAAATTATCAGAAGGTTAATCCATAATACATGAGTAATAATCATAATAATCTACCATTGTTCTGCAGAATGCAGGATTTTTACTTGTAACAGAGTATTTTAACAGTGTATTATTAGTAGCCTACTTTTATTTAGGTAAAGGATCTGAATACTTTCTCCACCACTGATTGCACGTTCAATAGAAATTCGTGATTTAGGGCAGCGCCATTACACTGTTACATAATTAAGTAGAACGGGTAGGGGCTTACAAATTCTGTCACTTAAACCCTGTAACCTTCATAATTTAAGAACAATGACCTACTGTAGGTCTGGAAAGAAACCTTAAGATTATAGCTTGCTGCAGATCAGATCAAATTAAATATCACGTTACGTTTTGCTGTACACAAGTTACACCGCCTTTTAATGTGAACACCTGAAACCATGTGTGTAGTTCCCGTTTCTCGGTAACACTAACGTGTGTGTCAAGTTACATTTATCTGTCTGGAGAGAAAAGGATGTTTGTGTCATGCGCCGTGACAACAAAAAGATGGTGATACATACGTCACAACTGGAAGCTGCAGGTGTGTGTTGCAGCACAACTGGTCACTTTCAGTCAAGTTATTTAAGGCCGTATTTCCACTGACAGCCGTATCCCGGAAGTAAAGTAGAGAAGGCCAATGAATGACTGTGTCGCAAGCTCTAATTAATTATTAACGACGCAAAAGCTGCCAATTGTTAACATTCAACAGTTTAAAAGGTAACATAAACAGCCAAAATACGGAATAAGAGTAGGATTTTATAGCTTGTGTAGCTGAAAAAGTCATGGAAGCAATTGTGAGTGGGCTATCTATACTCTAGCATTGTCATACCTTCCCCTTCAGGTCCAACACAAATATAGCTGAGGCAGACATCGTGTTTGTACCCACAGCAGCTCAACATGCGAGTCCACGAATCCACAAAGTCAAGTTTAAAGTCCAACTCGAGTCTTCACTGGTTTGAATTTGCTTTCTCCATCCAAACTAAGGTGAGAGGCTTTCATCAGCCTGAGGTGATCGATCTTGAGCGCCACCGTTTCTTTTTCTTTAAGGTGACGTCATCACTTGCAGGTAAAACATTTACCAGCTCACCTGAGCAGCAGGGGGAGGGATAGAAGGGGAAGGAGAAGGGTGTGCTGCTCAGTTTGTCCGCTAGAGAGCGCCACAGACAAACAAGTCATAGCAGGGACAAAACGTGTGTGACACCACGTTGAAGAGTCAGGCTGCGTTTATCCTTTTCTCTCAAATGGGAAAATGTTTGGTTTCTTTGACCACAACAGAAAAAGGCCAAATAAGGGCACTTTGTATCATATAGCCTACATCTTATCCTACTCATGGCCAAATTGTTTTCAGCCATAACTCTACCAGCAAACCTTTTTTTACCCTTGCTCTGGGAAATGAAATAAAAAAACTGCAAACAACCTGTCAAAAGTTTGTCTGTGTGTGTCTATCAATGTTTTTATTTAAATCTGGGCTTATGTGTCACGGTAAGAAAAGCACAGGGATAAATAATACAATGAATGATGGCTGAATTCCATTTAGCTGCGTCATTGTCAGGGTCTTGCTGGCTCACTCTAATGGCTTACTGGGGCACTTAGAACAGATACTCTTTTGTAATTGAATTAATTTTATCCTCAAGGTAAATATTGTGCAGCAACACAGGAGTCTCCTACTACAGAGCTTCAATGATTTAGGAATCAATTTATCATCTGAAAGAGCTCACTGTTTACTGGCTTTTAATTATATATAACATGACATAATTAGATTTGAAATATGGCTGTTGTGCACATTTCCAAAAACTGTCAAATACCTTGTAAAGTAAACTTAGAGTTTTAAATGTTCTTGAGAAACAGCAATAGTGTGTCGGCCTTGACTTAAGGCATCATTGCCTTATCTGTATCTGAAGGACAGATTGCAGTTTTGCAGAACACCCTCAAAAAGAGAAAGCGTATCTTAATATACTGTACTTGTAGAAGGTTTTTATTCTCCAGAAGGCACACTTCTGCTCTACCTTTTATCTGGGAGTGTGTGACCTGCAGCCTCTGGCCTCATGGTTGCAGAATCACTAATCACATGCTCTGTGGGCTTCTTAAGCCATAAAGCTTGCTCTACATGATCTCCACATTTTACCAGCCGTCCTTTGGGCCTCTCTGTTTGGTATCATGCCCTAGATCCCAACCTCCATCCATATTCCTATGCTTCTTATCAGTCATGTGTAGGAAGGCCGGGACTAAGAATAACACACTGCCATAACAGAGGCGTGTGAATGTGTGCCTCTGAGGGCCTTTTCCAATATCCCACTCCTTTTGTCCATATAGGTTTGGGTCTCCTTATCTGGACTATGTTTACCCAATGAGACATGACCATATCTGAGCTATAAATGAGATAGCCGCACCTTTAAAATGTTGTGTTCACACAGGATATGAGCCATAGTAGGATGTCCTTGCTAAAGGACAGACGATGTCTAAAACCAGTTCAGTCACATTTTTAACAGGAGAGGCCATTTTACCCACTTCCCAGTTGTCAGCATTTGTTGGTTTTCCAGTCAACTTTAGTATCCACAAATATTTTGGTTTTAAATGTCGAACTTAAAGCCCACGTCAATCTAAAGCTACAGGAAGAGCATTTTTCCTTAATGTAAACACCATCGTTATCAGCTTCTACTGCATGTGTTTGATACTCCCGCATTGATTCATGTGACCCGGATTATGGATCCCTCTATAGTGGCTGACGTGTGGCCCTTTACAAATATGGTAACACTTCAAAGTGAGGAAAGATGAAAAACATCAACATGCATCCCTTTGGAAATGGAGTTCATGTTAGTATTAACTAAGGGTCAGTAACTCAGTCTAACCTGTAACATCACAGCTGGGTTGAAGAGTAGAAGAGATGAAATAATGAAAGTTGACTGACTTTTAATAGTTGCTTAATTGTTTTAGTCAACTTTAAAGCCAAAATGCCAACATTCTCTGGTTCCTGCTTTTCACATGTAAGGATTTGCTGCTTTTAATTGTCAAACATAATTATCTTTGGGTCTGGGACTGAAGGACTTTGTGAAATTATAATGGCAATTTCCAAACATATTCTAGACAAAACAGTTAGTTGATCGTTCAAGAAAATAATCTGCAGATTAATCAATAATGAAAGTTTGCCACAATTGCAGGGGCCAGCATCTGAAGATGATCCACAGTAATTCCAACAGGACTGTTGATATTAAAGAAAAAGGGAGGCCTAGAGCAATCTTCTGTCATACGGGCAAACTCTCTATCTATGCTCCCGGTAATAAAGGTTAACATGAATATGGCCCTTTTTTAACATTATGAATTGGCTGATTAGAATCTAATATTTGTCTGAAGGGAGTATATCTACATCCTGGTCAATTAAACTCTCCCTTTGAATTAATTAAAAAGTATCCCAAATCATCCCCACCCACCTAAAAGCAGTTTTACCTACATCAGGCAGAAAACTGCCCAATCTGGCTACACTATTTCAACGACATGATAACTGCAACTAAACCCACACAAAAGTTCACAGAACTCTGAAATAGAAATCTCTAAAATAGGCCGTATAAAACTCAAGTTGAAATTGTAGGATTGGACTTAGCATTAAGTGTTATGACACCTGTCTGCGCCATAAGATGCCCCCTGTTAGTTCTACTCCTGCAAAAAATGATTGTTATTTTGCTAATATTAATGAATGAGGCACAAAAAACCTCAGTCCATTAAAAAAATCAACCACTTTAAACCACGAACCACATCTCCTAACATCATCGAATCACTAAAATAGATGGCATTTAGTGAGCTCAGTCGAGGTGAACTGGGTTTCTGAAAACATGAACACAACCTTAAATCCATCGTAGATCAATATTATGGTATCCTGGGAAGCTTTAAACTGTTTTCTTTTATCTCCTCAGGGTCAGAGCAGTTGAGCTCAGCATGGCAGCTCAGAGCGAAAGAGATATTAGTGATATTTCCTGTGATATGTGCCTTGATAATCACTGTGAGTGCTAGTTTAGGAATTGATATGAGATGCCCAACAGAGCTGCTCATGGCCTTCACTGCCTTTCACTTATACAGTAGATCCATCCTCAGTTAAGAGTTTATTAAAATAAACAGTTTAAGCTTATCAGTTGTGTCCTTCTGCCTCCTGCAGCCGGAGATGCTGTGGTTTCGGCTTGTTTTGCCCTGAGGTTGGCAGGCAGAGACCTAACAGGCTCTTGTTGTTACATTATCATTAGGACAGTTGGTGCTCTGTTTGGTAACCTGACAGGGGAATATCTATTCTCCATCCCCTCCTTCCCATCCACCTTCCGCTGTCACTTTTTGTGGACACTCCCCTTTGCTTACGAGTCAGTGGTGTGAGATACAACTCCACCCTTTGCCTGCCAGCTGGCCAATAGGAAGACAGTGAACATTATGTAAATAGTCAGGTGAGGAGAGGGTGACAGAGAGCATAGCAGGGGACAGGTGTCAATTGTCACCTGAGTCTCAGGTGTATGTGCCTACTACCTCATGGGTATCGCACAGAATGAAGCTTGTTATGAATAGTAAACTGTCAACAATGATGCCGCTACTGATGGAAACATAAGATTTCTACTTAGATACAATTAGCCACACTAGTGGTTGCAATTACCATTATTTTAACAATGTCAAATATAATCAAAAGTAAACTGGATGCACAAAACTCTTCCTTCATCAAATGTTGCACTGTTGGGCGTGAAGTCAATTACACTGGAATGTGGATACCAGTTTCTGACAGAGGACATACCACAGCTTCCCAGTGCGCTAAGCTGATGGCAGCATGTCCCAGAGCAGGTCATGCCCCTGACGTCAACCCCAGCTCAAACATTCATTAACACTTTATTTAAGTACACATAAAAGAGAACAGTACAAGGACACAAAGTACATTCACAAGATCATGGACCTGTGGCACAATACCAAGCATACAGCAGTTTTCAGGCTTATACGTAATAGTGTTTACTCCATATATAACTGCTACCAATGATAGCAGAGACAGCGCAATATTTTGCAAGCCATTTAGTTCACTTTTTGAGTGAGTATACCCTAAGCTGCCAAATATGAAAAGAAGTAGTTTGCACCTAGAACCCACTTCTGAGGTGGTATTTAGGAGTTGTTGGTATTTAATGGCCTTGGTCATAAAGGCGGGGCGGTGCAGTGGTGCAGTGGTTAGCACTGTCGCCTCACGGTTCTCCCGGCCTTTCTGCGTGGACTTTGCATGTTCTCCCCGTGTTTGCGTGGGTTCTCTCCGGGTGCTCTGGCTTCCTCCCACCATCCAAAGACATGCGGACTAGGTTACTCTAAATTGTCCTTAGGTGGACTGGCAACCTGTCCAGGGTGGGTGTACCTCGCCTTTTGCCCAATGTCAGCTGGGATTGGCTCTAGCCCCCCCGTGACCCTGTATGCAGGATAAGCAGTTGACGATGGATGGTGATAAAGGCTTTCTCTAAGCTAAAGTCAAAGGTGCAGGTTGTTATGCTTACCTTAGTGGTAAGCATAACAAGCATTGTTATGCATAACAGCCATTCAAGATGTGAATGTCACAATGTCCACATTGTTCTTGAGGAATAAATGAGAGACAGTTCGTATCAGCAGAGGGAAGACATCCAAGTTTCTGGCTCCTTCGTATGTGGCTGTTGCCTTGACGGAGGTGAGGGACACAAACCAAACCCCCGAACCAGCAGAGTGGATATCAAGTATTTGGATTTCCTTCTGAATCCAAGGTAGTGGGGCTCTGGCTGCCTGGCCAGTGGGACCTTGCGTCTCCTCAGGTCCAGGAACAGGGAGGATCGAGCCAGCTCACTATCATCCTTGACATCATAATTCAGCAGATCAAGAAGATGGAAATCTGCATGATGGTGTAAATACATGCCATGTTTGGTCCCCCCAGCCCAATTATGCCTCGGGTGCTGTGTGTATTGAGTCACATACACACACAAACACACATCTTGCATATCTAAGCATGGTGTGTCTCAGGCTTATTTATACCTAGAAACCATTGTGTTTCGAAACCAACTGTGTGTCATGAGAGATTTTGAATTA